GTGCTCACCGGCCACCTCCAAGTGGCCAGCGTGCTCACCGGCCACCTCTAAGTGGCCCGTACACTCACCGGCCACCTTGTGCCCAAGGCACAGTGAGGGTTGCCTATAAATAGGCCCCCCCTTTGTTCATTTGAGAAGGTTGGAACTTTTGGAGGCGAAGCTCTGCTGGATTCAAGGCTCAGAACTAAGAAAGATTAAAGCTTTGGGACTTTGAAGACTTGCTCATCCAGATCCGGTGCTCAGCGATCGTCAACGCCAAATAAGGCAAGAGTTTGAGAGGAACCGAATCTCAAATCGGATCTCAGATCTACACAGGCATACTCCGGATCAAAGCTTGGTCTTTGATCCCGAGATTTGGGTGATTATTTCCTTGGTGAAATAATCCTCCCCGGCTATTATTTCCTTCGTAAAATAATACTCGTCGTACTGCGTAGACCCGACCAGATCTAGATCTCGTGATGGTCCACGGATAAACCCCGGCGCAGGCAAACAACCCACGCAAACGAGCGACCGCAAAACAGGAGCTCGTGATTTGTTCGACACAAAAAGAGAAAGTTGTAATCTTTTTTTATTTTTCTTTGATTTTATTGTAACCGGATCTTACAAAAAGACCGGATCTTTATAACTCAAAAGCTGTTATCTAAGATGACAATGGAATCAACAATGAAGAAAGACACGATTTTCCCCGCGAACACTCTACGGTTCTATTAATAGCTAGTGGTGGTGTAGCCGCTGGTGATGCCTCTGCAATAGGCATAGTTGGGACGACTGGTGGTAGAACCACAAGAGGTAGTATAGTTGGTGGAAACTAATTTGCCACTCGCTCCTCGGGCACTGCCAATCTGGCTGCAATCGGCTCCATAAGGTCAATCAGATACTATAGAGCCTATTGCAGCTCAGGCGCTAGCTTAGCTTGCCTAGCACCCCGGGTACGGGATCTACCATGACCACACACGCTAATTGAAGGAAATCGTGCTATGTCTACATGCATAATACACAGCGGAAGACATGTATGTACAAAAATACTAAGCATGTAGAGAGCATGAAATATTCATATGGATCGTCTAATTAAATCTAACATGATCCTTATTATTAAGAGAGCATACAAGAGTTAGAAAGTCATACTTTCGTAGCGTGATTCGATGGAAGATCGAATAACCCCTAGCTCTTGCTCCTTGTAGTAGAAAATCTCCTTGTAGTGGATCTCCAAGTCTTCAAGTGAGCTTGATAAAATGGGAGTCTTCTTAAGACACAAGGCAAGATATCCACCCCGGGGTTCTTAAAATCCTACTACTTCCTCTTGCTCAAAGATTGCTAAAGTTTAGTAAGAGGAGAGCTCTCTTTTATTCTCTTATGGAAAAAAACACTTAGCCAATTTTCCATTAACCTTTCCATAAGAAAAAGAGCTCATATTTATAGAGTGAAATGTGTTCATGATATGAATGACTCATCCTATGAGTCATGCAATGAATCATCAAAAATTAATGATTAATCAAGTGAGTCATGCAATGAATCATCTTATGAATCATTACATTTCAAAACCATGTGCTAATAAACCATGTGCTCAAACCATACCACTAAGTGACTCATCTCATGACTCATTATACATGGTATGTGTATTTCATAAATGAGAATACCAAATTATTATCACTAATACAGTATTTCATAAATACGGTATATAGTATTATTCCAATCTTTAACTAATTAGTCACTATATGACCAAATAAATCAAGAGTTGACCAAAAGTCAACTGTTGACCAAAAAGTCAACTAGTTGACTAAAAGTTAACTTTATGGGAAAAATACTGGAATTCATTTCCTAAGCACATAGCATTCCGATTTTACCG